CCTCAGCGACCAGCACGGATCAGCTCTAGGCATGACGAAGCGGATATCGTCCTCTTTTGGAAGACCAAACAATGTAGTTTCGCTTTCACAACGAAACACACAGCGTCTTCACGACATGGCGGCGGCAGCGAGAATACTACTACGCCTTCTTTCTTTGCATGAACATTTGGGCGGCGTTATGCAAGACATGTGTTAGAACGAGCCGTTTTAGGTAGGCGTGGTTGACTCTTACTTAACTTTTATAAAGAATATCTCTTTGGATTTGGGACTTTAGTCTTTGCAACTTTACAGATCTTCTTTATGCACCAAGAGCTTGTAGCACTCCAAAGAGAAAGGGAAAATTTAAATCTTTAAGGAATGAAACAAAACAGCAAACACAAACACAGGGAGCAGGAGGGACAGGAGCATGACATGAACCATATCATCAAACAACTGACACAAGCACAAGAGAAACACTGGGGCTATATACTGTATCCAGAGCTGAACCAATGAGTAACCAGGGAGTGGGAGTGGTCCAATGAGTGTCCATGGCAACAAACAAGGGAACAGAACAGCAGGGAAACATGAGGTGAACAAAGCAACAATGAAGACAGAACTACACAACAAGAGTCCATAACCACAGACACAGGAGAAACAGGCAGGGATCGTGACATTACCACTGCAGTGGTCCCGTTTCACTTACTGATGCAAATAAAACAACCGAGCTGCAGGACACTGAGGGGAGCATTTTCAAGAAATAAACCACATCAGTCACTTAGAGAAAAACTTGATCTTTCTAACAGTGTTTAAAAGACAAACTACTGCACTAGAGGACATGAAGACCACGTCATGCTTTCAAAGAACCGCCCTGTGAAGCCAGAAAAATACAAACATTTGAAATGCAACAGTTCACTGAACCTTTGGACAAAGTTTGTATATGTGTTTTGTTGAGTATAATATTTGATCCATCAGGCTTTCGTGGCTCATATAGTCTGATATAGTGAGAATATGAAGGGGAAAAACATCTTAATTTTCATTCAGAAGCCCAAACTGAGCAAAAATATGCAATTTGGTACAGATGCTGATATAAATCAGTGATATCTTTATGCTTACATAAAATGATTTAAATATCAGCAGTCACTCTATATCTCCAATAATATGTCTTAGTAAGATGATAAGAAATGCTTTTTTTTGATGATCAGAACATATAATGCAATGCAATCCAATGATGATTGAGAGATGAACAAAAAATCAAAAGCCTGATGATCATATTTGAGACTCCCTGATTTTTCTAAAAAATGATGTCTGGATAATCAAGTAAAGCAGAGCTGCTTTAGTCCAGTAAGTGCTCATCTTGAAATATTACTAACAATATCAAAGTTATTCTTATGTTTAAAATAAAAATCAGTAAAGATTTCACAGCAAAAAGCCCGAGCTGAAGGTGGACGTTTGTAGAATTATACTAAAAGTCCTTCAACTCTCAATCAGGCAGAAGGCATCTAGTAGATAGTGAGGTTTAACAGCAATCAAGTTTTAATCGAGCTGATCATTTAGAGGCCTTAGAAACTTGCACCGCAAATATAACTCAGTAGCTTTACAGGGTCAATATTCTTCTTAGGACATTACGTGTGCTTATGTGCACCAGAACATGACACCGACCAGCCGAGAGGAGCATGAAGCACATCCACAGAAGGAACAGAGGCTGAGCGCATAGAGAGAAGAACAACACATTCAAGATGACGGTCTCTCACTGTCTGCACGGGAAACTACACAGCCTCTGCTAACAAACTACCAGCAGCAGATAACGGCCGAAAGCCTCGGGTGTCCAACAGATTACTGAGAAGTCTAACTGACAGCTTCTGATGCTATCAGTAGAAAAAACTCCCTTCTTGACTTCACTGACTTCTTGACGTTTAAAATCCTTATATTCCCTGCACCAAAGTTTGTTGAACTACTCTAACACTAGAAATCTGACTGAAGATCGTGGCGTCTTACCGTGGCCGAGGCGTCGTGGACGTCTACGATCAGCTGCCGCTCTCCTCCAGCGTTCACCTTATGGAAGTGGCGGCGCGAGTGTCCCTGTGGAGCCGTGTCGTCGCTCTCGCTGGCGTTCTCCACCTGTAAAGAGCCGGAGTCAGACACGTCAGCATCCTGGTTGAACATCCAGTTCTTCCAGATCACTGAGAGCCTGTGGAGGCGCAGGAGACTCATGTGGACGGCGTTCACATGCTATACGGGACGAAAGAAAGCGAGTTTGTCATGTTCGAGAGACGGAGTCTACTAGCGTAGCGAGGCAGAGTTGCAGTCAGGTCACAGCTTCCTGTAGGAAGCCGTAAATACACAAATATCCTCTGCGAGCAGAAACAGCACGTTTCTAGCGAGCCCTTTGTATAGCGTGCTGTGTGTTTGAAACTGTAAATAGCCAGCGTTCGACTTCACATACTCTAGTAGTGCGTCTGAAGAACATGTTTCAAGTGAATCTGTATGAAGTCTGTTCAGCAGCTGAGGATGCTGGGAGTCAGTGCTGACACATACATATCATATCATGGACTGTGAGTTGTTTGTAAGATTTAGGGTTTATGAAGGTAAATGTAAGACTTTTCAAGACCTTTTTAAGATCAAGTAAAGAATGCAAGGGATGCAATAGGTCAATATGGTCTCTAAATATCAATGTCTAGAGAGCACATAATGAGTTGTATTAATACTTCAAAGTTTGAAAACGCAACTTCCAACAGATTGAGATTTTCACTACATTTTGACAAAAAATATAACTTATGGAAATAAAGTTCATGGAAATAACTGTATCTGATACAGTAAATACAAAAAGTGCTGATCTTCCTCAGTATTTTTGTCTTGTTTTCTATTGCTAATCTCCAAAAGACTTTAAAATCAATATACAATTACTTGCAAAAGGATAAAAGTTGTCTTATTGAGAAACTGATTAAAGTGAGGTTGGTTTATGATTAAAACAAGAACAAATATCTGACAATGCTCTCAGAGAAATCAACTTAATTTAAAGGGAAAACAAAAGAGAAAAGTTTTCATTACACACTAACAGATAATTGTTCATGTTTTAAGCATAAACTCACTTTATTTTGTTCAATTTCTCAGAAAACAAGACTTCATATGTGACCTGAGCTGGCAAAATGAGTCGGAATGAGCACGTTTTTAAAAATGAGTTAAAAAACCTTCAAAATGATGCATGATTTGTTGGAAACGAACAAAAAATGACTGAGTTACACCCGTTTGAAGTCGCCAGAGTCAGCAAAGGTTCCAAAGCAAAATCACTGAGCAACGTTGCATCTTTTCCTCCACTTCTTTTCTTAATAATAATTACTATATTAATAATCACAATATAGATATTTTTATTTCGTCTTTGTTATTAAAAATGTTGAACAAAGATGCAAATAAACAGTAGAACAAATATAAGAAAGAAACTAATTAAATAGTGCATTACTTTTTTCTAGAGCCCGACCGATATGGGTTTTTGGAGGCCGATACGATATTAGGGCGTAAAAAAGGCCGATATCGATATATCGGCTGTTATTCTTTGTGTATATTATAGTACAGTACCAGTCAAAAGTTTGGACACTTTCCCATCCCATATATAGAATACAGTATATAAATAAACAGAATATATATACATAAACACATTTTTTGCAATGATCACTCAAATGTGGTGATCAAACACTTATAATGATGTGACAAAGATATGTAATGGAGGCAGGGCATTTAACAATTTAACAATAAACTTTATTATCCAAAATGAGTCTGACATCAGTGCACTGAACAGTAAAGTAGAAGTTTATTCAACTTTATTTCAATTCCATTCAACTTAATTCCGTTGAAGTTTATTTCACTTCAGAACATTCATTAACGAATTTGCGCTACTGTCTTCACCCACAGACGAAACTTACTAGAGAAGTGTGAAGTGTGACATACCTCTGTAAATAAATACAATTTAAATTCACATCTCGCGCACTTTAATGCCCTTTGAATGTAACGTGTACGTTCCCTTGGAACTGGAATCATGGCAGAATATCATGTGAAGTCCACTTCGCAGGGCACTTACGGTCAAATAAGACAATGCTTGAATGCTGCTGCCTGAACAAGAGACCTCCTTACTGAAGTGAAAGTGTTGGCTGGTGTCACTGTCTCGTGAGCGCGCCGGCGGATCTCCACCAAATTTAGGGGATCCCTTTAGCTCGGGGAGCCCTCTCGAACGCACCCTCCGCGTGTCGGTAGCCCCCTGGGATCGCCAGATCGGTCAGTGCCCGACCGCGAATTTAACCATCCGTAACTCCCGGACCCCGGGGGCTATCGATGCGGGGAGCGGTCTCATTCGAAAGGGGGCCTCAAGACGTACACTCGATACAACGTTCGAGAGGGTTCCTCGAGCTGAAGGGATCGTTCATTTGATATTTCATTTCATTATTAGATATTACGGAGATATGGCAGTTCAAAGTTGGTATTCCATACACTTAAGCTTTAAAGCGTTTCATCCAGGTCGCCAGTAGCAAACAATGGAGCGCGCTCTGCTGGACAAACTACGTAATTACACCATTTACAAGCATTTTATCTGTGTTTTATGTTCTGTAAAAAAAATTTCATATCGGTGGCCAATCAGCGGCATATTCGCCAATACCGATATATCAGCGACAGGCTCATATCGGCCGATAAAATCGACAAAACGATATATCGGTCGGGCTCTACTTTTTTCATCTAAAAACCATTCAAGAAAAGCAAATAGGCTAATCAAATGTAAAAATCACTTTAGTGTTTTCATTACAAATAAACTGATTATTAAAACTACAAAAGTTCAATCAAGAGCAGTGAGTGATTCCTTCTTTTCTTTTATTGTTAGATTAATATTAACCTATATATTAAGACCCACTGTAATGCACGGCTCTAATATAATGCTACATATCAGATGATTTTCCTCAACAAACAAACAAACAAACATCACATTGAACATAAAATTTAAGTGGCAGCAGTCGTCAAGAAGTGAGCAGAGAAAAAGGTACACCTCTCAGAAAACATACAACTAAAGATCATTTTAGATGTTTAATTACTATTTGGAGCAATGAGATCGCTAGACGAGGGCTAATTGAACTCATTTTTGTGAAAACGTCAAATTTGACCAAAATTCATTTTCACTTTTTTGGCCCGTAGCTCAAAATTAGCCCGTGCGCATTCCCACTCATTTTGCCAGCATGGGTCACATATTTTCATTTTGCATCTCAAGTATCTTGATTTAAGGATGGTTAGATATTTGTATTGGAAAACAGGACGAAAATACTGAGGAAGATATAAATTTTTTGTGCACACAATATTTAAGGTCATGACTTTTATAATTTTAAGATGTTTTGCTCTGATTTGAGACCTTTTTAAGACCTGTAAGAAAAAATCCTAATTTTAACAGTAAAGACTGTAAAAAATGCTATGGTAAAAAAAAGCCTGTTAAAGTCTGTTTTTCATTGAAATAACTTTTGTTTTGTTTTGTTTATTCTTCAGTTCAGTTCCCAGTGGTACATCTTAAGTCGGTAAACTAATGTTTATTGCATTATTGTAGTGTTGTGTGCATTGTGATGGTGTTTTGCATTTGTGTGATTGTGGTGCTTGCCTGTACATTATACAGTAAAGGCAAAAAAAAAAAGAAAATTGATTTTAGTATTTTGATATGTAAACACATTATAGTTTATGAAATATGCTTTTTTTCTGCTTTTTTTCACGTAAAACTTAAAATGTTGCTACTGTATTTTTTTTACAGTAAAATTCTGGCAACCACAGCTGCTGTTGTTTTTATCCTAAAATTGCACTGAATTCACTCAACCGTGCTTATGATATAACAACTGACAGCAAACTTCTTCATCTGGTGAATTGGTGTAATTAAAATGTGTGTCAGCTCTGTTCAAACTCTAGTGTACTTCAAGGCCTCATGGGTGCGGGAGACATGAAGAGGTCGGCAGAAACGTTAAGCTTTCTCCTAACATAACTCATTTAGGCCACACTCTACTCCATCACATGCATCCTTTGTGATGAAAGACAGTTGCGCTTTTCCTCATTTGTAAGTCACTTGGGGAAAAAAGCATCTTTTAAATGAATAAATGGAAAAGGTAATCCCAGAATGCATCGCAAGAAAATCCATGCTAGATGGTGGATGAGTCGAGAGAATGTTGATGTTTCTACTGAAACCTATTAACAAAAAATGGACAATTCCGGTCAATACGTGTGTGTGCTGAGGGCGTTTATACTTGTTAAATTATTGTGCCATTATTTTTGTGCGCTTCATGTGAGGAGTGTAATCTGTCAGATCAGTCGCTTATGAGTGTGGATGCTCCCTTAAACAGATGCTGCCTAAGAAGCCAGCAGACAAGGAGGTGCATGGAGTGAAGAGACAGAGAGAGAGACGGGTTGTCATGTCGGAGCAGAACGGTCATCCATCACGCCTTTAATGTGACACGTAGCTTTAAGCATCCAGGGGACAGACGACAGAAAAGACACATCTCAGTGTTCAACTCAGGATGAGTGTGTGAGAGAAAGATGGGAAAACTAGCTGTAAAAAAAAAATATGACAATATTCTTATGATGAAAAAGCAGCAGCAGACGCAGACAGACAGTGAAACGCTACAGTGCTGTTACATAAAACACATCGTCCAATCAAAAGAGTCGCTTAAAACAAATAGGGATGCAATGTTAGACATATTCTAAAAGTCATGCACGTATGTGTACTGAACTAATGCAGTGCTGTTTTAAACACTGCACATGCAGTGCAGAAATTCAGAGCATCTCGGATGGCACAATATCAGTATATCAGTATATCTGATGTTATAAAAACGCTATCGAAAATTGAGCTGCTGCAGGAAAAGTACACAATCGAAGTTGTCCTAAACATGAGACATGCTTTCATTGTCAGAAATGATTGATTTCCCGGGGCATTTTTTACATTTGTAGAGGCAATGTCAAATGCTTACTTCAATCACAATACTATAGACTTTAACCAATCAACAAAAGCCATCTTTACACTGCAAAGATGGAATTTGTTTAATGCTACTCATGGTACAGTATTATGATGTAAACAGCCTATAAATGAAAAAACAAGAAGTCAGGAGCTGCCTTGTTTTATTAAACGTATATACTGCACTTGGATCCTCCTCCTTGTTTCTGAAACACTCACCGTTACAACACTGTAAAAACAACAGTGGAAAAATGTCTATCAGCTGCAGTGTTGGGGAAACACAATACAAGTAACGTGAGTTACGTAATCAGATTACTTTTTTCACGCATTACTTTTGAAT